GCATGTTTGGTGGGACGGGCATTCGAACCCGCGACCCTCAGATTGCGAGTCGAGCGCTTTAACTACCTGGCCATGCCGGGCCGATCCTGAAGGTAAGGTCAAGAAAATCTATATTTCTCTTGTCATACGAATGATTCAGAGTGAATTGGATGTTGGGGTCTATGGAATTTAGAAAGTCTAAAAATTGGATTAAAGTAGAAAGACCGTGGTTCCATATAGTCCAAACACGTCATCGATGTATCTAAGCCATAGATCAAGGCCGGTTTTGGTATTTTGACGCCACTTGTCAAGTGCCGTTGTTTCAAAAACGTGCATAAATATTACGGCATAAATAACAGCGACTCTATTACCCATTGATACACCACTGAGTTGGAGATATAGTTTGTCAAAACGAAAATATCAATTGTGAATGATGATATGTAAGATTTCTCTGAAAGTGTCTATTGTCAGTCCGTACATCTCCAAATTGTTTGTGTGATTCGAAATGAATTCACACGCTGTATGTGTTTGTATATCTGGGTTGTGAGCTACGACGTCCAATATATTGAGTATTGTTGTGTTGGTCACTAAGTGAGGAGCATCCTTGATTCGCGATAACAGGTATTGTGTATTATTTAACTGAGCTGGAACGTAATTTAATAACGGAACCAAAACTGTATGCATAAACCAAGACATCTTGTTTGTAGTTAAGCACAAAACTACACAATGGGCTATCTGTGCTCTGCCCACCATGGGTATCGAAACCCGGTTTCTAGGGTTGTAAGTTCGCAGACATACCGCTGTGCCACTGGGGGGGGCACCAAGACAAAATTTCAGTAGCACTGCCTTATGCTGAGACTATGAATCTTAGTGGCATATTGGTTTATGTTCCTTTGTTAAACCGTATAATTCTGGGATACAGCTATTAGAAGGTTTAAGTTCTTGTTTTTGTAAATTCATAGATAATCTCTTTAGCATTCGTCTCAATTTGAAATTTAATCTCGTCTTTAAGATGACCAAATATTTTTTATTCGTAAATATTTCTGCCCATAACTACAAAATATTTACACTTGTCCGATTATTTTATGATGATATTATTATATTTTTTAAGTTTTAAGGGCTAGTTGTTCTTTATGATTTAAGTTAGGCTTGGAATGATGATCCCTACGTTTTTTGCAAAACGTTCTTGATATTTTTCCTCACATCCGCGATTTGCGTTTCAATATCTTTGTTAGCGTGGGGAGGTTGTCGCTAAGTGGTATCAAAAGGGTGTTTAGTGAGACATTTGGAAGCTGCATGATTTGTTGCATGTGTAGTTGAACAAATTTCAGAAATGCAATTAATGTCAGACTCTGTGTTATCATTTTCAATGTCGGTTGTAGTAGAGATTGAATTTATGATATTTTGCTGGATTTTAGTCGTTTCTCTATTTTCTTAAAAATGGTTCCATCGAATAGAATAAAACGTTTGTTCAAGAGAAGAAAACGTGTTTAAACACATTTTATTTTGAAGTTTAATTTAGTATTACTGCGAAAACAGGTTCTTTAGTTGGTAGGTTCAAAGAGGAAGTCGAGATTTGGAGGTAATTTTCTACTGTTACTTTTTTAACTGTTGTCATGTTTTCTTGATCGTTATTATCATTTGTAACAAAGGTCTCTGATTTGGTGATTTGCTCGTCATATATACTTCTCAAGTCTTGAGTGGCATTCTTTATTTTCTTTACATTTGATGTCTGATTTAATATTCATTAATTAAGTGTAGAAACTGGGAAACTTTTCTTGGGGGATATTTAAAACTATTTGGTTTTATTGAAGCTTTGTACTGTCCGTTTCGGTTTATGTTTTAGTGAACGCTCCTGAAGAAGCTGTAAAGCGAAACGTTAGTGTCTACTTAAGTAGAAATAAGGTTATAAGGTCGTTTATATCTAGTATTAATATGTCTTCTATACATCAGTATGCACTACAGAAATTAAATATTGAAAAATATAATTCCTGTTTTATGAGATATATGTCAAGAGAAAGTATCAATACAACTGGATCAGCGGTAAGCCTAACAGCTGATAATACTGAAATTAGGGCTTAGAACCTCGCGGCGGATACATTGCATATAGTACACTGTGCAGCTTTTCGCTAAAATCAAATAGTCTATGAAGATACTTCATACAAATGTACTTGCGTAAAATTTCGCTAAATAACTAAAGAGGTTTGTTTGTACTTAAATTCTATTTGGTTTACGTATAAACAGTTGTGTTGATTTTTTTGTTACATGTACTTGAAATGGTCTTCTACACTAATTATATCAATATATATATCATCAACATACAGGGTGATTCAGAAAACTACTGCAGGCAAGTAACTCAGCGAAGGAGATGTATAGTAAAATAATTCTTAGTAGTGTGAAATTAGGTGTTGTGGGCCTACACTGTGAGAACATCGCCGAGACTGTTCGAGGTCATCGTCAAGGTCATGGAACATTTATCAATATGCACCATACACCTAAAATGTCAATGGCAAAGGTGTAGACTGCTATAGATTAAACATGTTAAACTTCGAATTACCAAATTCGCTGCCCAAGAACAACTCTTGTAGGCATAAATGCACATTTTACATGCATATGGAGTTGTGCCTCAGAAGATTGAAATTCAACCGGAGTAAAAGTTGTTACACAAACTTAGGTTTGAAGTGCAAGCTTAGAATGTTTACTATGTCTATTTATTATTTTCTATACATTTGCAACTGACATTTTTTGTTGTATGATGCTTATTAACTAAAATATCGAAGGCCTCAACACGTTCCATAACACTAACAGTTATTTCCCTATGCCTCTCCATTTCTGAATGATATACTTGTCAATGGACTTTTGAACCACCCAGTATATTAATAACTTTTATATTGAAAAAAACACCTAAAGATTACATAGATTATAAATATAAGCATTAGATCTCAGAGTTATATTTTAGTGGTTTAGGATTTAAAATTACGTGTCAAACGCTCAATATGTTCCAGAATTATTTTGAAACAACTTTTTTATTGTTTTGTTTTAGGTCCTCGGGACTTCACAAGCAAGTTTTCCATTTATTTACAATGTTCAAGGTATCTTATTGATAAAAAATTAATCTGAAAACTGCATCGTCATGGTATCGTGGATTTTTCTTGCATTCTGTGTGCTATTACTGACGTCGGTCATTAGTTCGCATATCAGTTGTCCACTTCATTGTGATTGCGTACAACGTATGGTAAATTGTACATCACGTGGGTTGCACAAAATTCCTGATAATATCCCTCTACACACTGAGTTACTGTTTCTATCTGAGAATCGGTTAACGAACTTGGTCAAACAAATACCCTTTCTGCCTCGTCTGTTAGACCTGAACTTATCTACCAATCAAATCAAACAACTGGGCCGTGGGTCCATCTTTCAAAATTTGACAGAACTACGTTTACTGGACTTGTCTAATAACAAGTTTCGTACCTTATTCAACGGAGTCTTTCGTGGTTTGTACAAGTTGGAAACGCTTATCATTACAAACGGCCACCTCAAGTTCATTGACGAACATGTATTTGATGACATGAGTAATCTTAAACATCTGAACCTAAGGGAAAATTCCATTCATTCAATGCCAGTAGAGTGGTTTTACGATATGATGAATTTAGTAATCCTAGAGCTTGACAACAACGAGATCTATTATCTAAATAGCGGGACGTTTACATCACTAAATAACCTTCGGCACCTTTCTTTGTCCCATAACAGAATCAGAGGAATTAGTGAAAAAGCTTTTCTAGGACTTCGTAACCTGACAACTTTGCTGCTGAACCACAACAACATTGCTGAAGTTCCCACAGTAGCCCTCCAATCTATGAAACGTCTGAAGGTTTTTTTTCTTGACGCTAATCCAATTCCTAAGTTGGTAACAGATGACTTTACTCTTTTTTCTGTAAAAGAGATATCTCTGTCGAACACAACTACGCTTCAGATGATAGACCGTGGAGCATTTCGAGATTTAGGTAACCTGGAGAAGGTTTATCTCCATAACAACCCAAGTCTGCATTACGTAGATCCCCATGCTTTCATCAATGTTCCTAAGTTGAGAGTTTTGCTTTTGCATAAAAATAATCTTTCTGTTTTAAGTTATGAAACTGTCTACGAACGTCCGGCCGTTCAGCTCACAATGTATGACAATCCACTTCTCTGCGATTGTAATGTTAGATGGATTCAAAAGGCACTAAACAAAAAAGAAAATTCTTCAATTCATTTTTTAAACTCAGATCAGTTAAAATGTTCCCAACCCCAGATTCTGCGTTCTTTTCCCCTCAAGGCTTTGAGCCTCGCCAGCATTCCTGAGCAGTGTGAACCAGTCCTAGTTGATTCTCGTAACGAAACAGTTGACACAAAAATGGGAGATTCTCAGATTTTCGAATGTCGTGCTTTTGGGATACCTCCGCCCAAGATCCATTGGATTGTACCCTCTGGAAGCGTGGTGAATGAATCAAACAATGACTTACGCATTCAGATAAAACATAGTAATATATTACTCTTGTACCACTTGAAGCCCAAAGATTCTGGAATCTACCAGTGTGTTGCAGAAAACAATATGGGTGTTGCCATAAAGAACACGGTTCTTCAAGTTGGCAGTGTAGACATTGGTCTGTTTCCTCAGCGGGTGTCTTCCACATTCGTAACAGTTGTGTGGAATGGCACAGCACGGAATAACTTTCCAGAGTATGATATACTTTACAAAACTGACAACCGACCAGGGGAGCAATATCAAACAGTCACAGTTAGTTATGTATATCGTTCTTATACTATAAATAATCTTGAACCAGATACAAGTTACAAGCTCTGCATTGCTGTCAAGGACAAAGAAGAAGAGAAATACATCAAACTATCCTGTACTCACGTTCATACCCGAGACGCTAGTTTTATTATGCAAGGCATTTACACCACAAGCAACGTAGCGGTCGCAGTAGTGCTAGGAATTGTTGCGGCAATGTTGTGTATTGTTTGTTTGGTTTCCATGGCAGCCAAGAAATACAGACAGCGACACTACGAAACGCCTGAAAAGTCTCTCATTACTGACATGGCTCACGTACCACCAGAGAACCTTAACAGCCCTTTAATGCCTCGAGTTGGATCCTGAAAATAAAAACAGAACAACCCTTTTTAGAGGGGCAGGTTGATTTCTGGAGTTGTTGATTTATTATTTTAAGTTCACAAGTTGGTTGAAGAACATGCCGATTGGTAAAGTTGCACACGGTATTATCATAGCTGGCCAAATGGGTTTGTGAAGGACAATACATTTTTACATGAACAGGGAAGAAATGTTTCATGAAGAAGAGCTTAATGTATTTCCATCAGATCAAGCATATTCCTCAGAAGGAACTAAAATGTTACACGAGGAAAGCTGAGACAATTAAACACTTAAAAATTTCAACCAAAATGAAGCTGTTTTCTTCATGTTGATTAAACTCACAAGTGTTTAGAAAATTTTACCAGATCTGGGTTGGTTGCTTTAAATCACTTCGCAGGTTGATTATTAAAGCTATAAAGCGAAAATCCCTTGTTCACACAAAATTATAATAATCATACGAAAATGTACAGTCATAAATGTTAGTATTCAACATGTTCTTCGAATAATACAGTGTTTTAAAGGAAATAATGCATGATTTGAATTTTTTTATTACACCAGCCTTCGAAAGTTGACGATAAAGGTAGTTAGAAGTTCTTAGCTTATTTCGACACGCGTGGATATTACTCAGTTGAAGTGAAGCTAGTTAATTGTTATACACTAACTTTTCATATAATTGACTTGAATGGAACAGACCTCTTATTTAAGCTAAAAGCTTTGCGTTGTGAGCTGTGATATTGTTTGCCATCATTTTATTAGAACACACGATCTTAGAAAACTATCTGATATTTCACCACTTCTAATTAGGTTTACTACAGTAGAAAATAACGTACACCAAACTGAAATTGTAAAAACATAACTTTCCGTATTGTTAATATATTGATGACAAGTAATAGACTAGTCAAGCATATCCATGAGAATTATCACCAATCAAACTCAAGTACATTTAAGATAGTTAAGTGTTTTAGGACGTTTCATTTCTGCGGAGCGCGCTAGAAATATCACTTATAAAACATATCCTGTCTGTTTAACCCAGTAGGTTCTGATTACCTCTTCAAACTAGTGATTAATTTAACCATCATCACATGATTATTTTACAGAGAAATGAAAACATTTCCAAGCTTTAGACCATGCAACGGAAAACATGTTATTTCCTTGTTGTATGACAACTCTCTTCTTTGGTATTTACTGTATGCGATAATGCAAGATTTTTTTACTGCACTTAATGATGAATTCTCAGTTCATTGTTGAAAATATTATGTAAAAAAATTAAAATAAGTTATTAATAATTGCGTAAGTTGCTCTTTCATTATATACACAAAATGGATAACATATTTTCGAATATATAACATAATCCTTAATGCACAATGGGGTCTGTGACCCCATCGGCTATTTAGGCACATTTCCAAACTATTTATGTAACAAATTATATATAGAGATAGAAACTGTGGACAGTTAACGTTGAACTGTTCCAGAAATGTGGTTCCAAGTAATTTTGCATTTTTACCTGAACAATAATTTTATCAGTGGAAATGTTAATTAGTTTTTTCTTTTTAATTGTCATTGCTCTTGTTATCAATTCGAACGTATTATTCACATCTGGTTAAAGTGTAAAATGTGTAAATGGATGTATGAAGTTAATAAACTATTGAAAAAATAATTTCATCATTTTTCGATCCAAGGACTACAACACTTACTCAAACACGAAAAATTTGACTCTTAATTCACACAGAGTAATCTAATTTCATTCACTAATAATATTTTAATCCTGAATGAAAGCTTTCTTCTAATACAAATAATCTAACCATTAATGCAAATATTACATCACTTTAAACACCAATAATCTGATTTTTAATTCAAGGATCGTAACATAACCTCAAACGCCAATAATCTATTTCGTGATTAAAAAACTAACATCACGTCAAAAAACTGCCAGGAATCTAGTTTCCAGTTCAAGGACAGTAATATTACTTCAAACGTTAAGTAACTTGGCTTCCAATTCAAGGTTTGTAGTGTAATTTCAACTACTAATATCATGATTTTCAGTTCTAAAAACTGTAGCATAAACTAATCTTCCAGTCATATAACCTCAGGAACTTTAACTAATGAATACCTTCTATTTACTACAGCTAACAAACATGAAATAACATTGGAACTGTATGTGTGATTTAACAAGCCTTGCATGAAATAATATTGGAACTGTATGTGTGATTTATCAAGACTTACATGAAATAGTATTGGAAATGTATGTGTGATATAACAAGATTTACATGAAATAACATTGGCAATGTATGTGTGATTTAACAAGCCTTACATGAAATAATATTGGAACTGTATCTGTGATTTAATAAGATTTACATGAAATAACATTAAAACTGTATGTGTGATTTAACAAGAGTTACATGAAATAATATTGGAAATGTATGTGTGATATAACAAGATTTACATGAAATAACATTGGAACTGTATCTGTGATTTAACAAGACTTACATGAAATAATATTGGAACTGTATGTGTGATTTAACAAGACTTACATGAAAATAATATTGGAATTGTATCTGTGATTTAACAAGACTTACATGAAATAATATTGGAACTGTATGTGTGATTTAACAAGACTTACATGAAATAATATTGGAACTGTATGTGTGATTTAACAAGACTTACATGAAATAATATTGGAACTGTATGTGTGATTTAACAATACTTACATGAAATAATAGTGGAATTGTATCTGTGATTTAACAAGACTTACATGAAATAATATTGGAACTATATGTGTGATTTAACAAGACTTACATGAAATAATATTGGAACTGTATGTGTGATTTAACAAGACTTACATGAAATAATAGTGGAAACTAAACTAAACGATTTTGGAAAACAAAAGTATTTCTTCGCAGAAGTAATATAAGCAGTTTTCGTCGTATATATGTCTCGGTGAGCATCTAACAGATACATAAATGGATTTATTGGCATTTGTAGAAGGCGTTTTGCTTGTCTTTCATCTCATCCATTTGCAACAATGTTGTCTTTACATGTTTGGGATATTGCCAAATTTTTTCCTGCATGTAATGAAATATTTTGTAGTTATTGGTGAACATATCAGTTTTCGAAAATTCTTTTGGTCCTTTATTTTTTCACACAACGATTCAACCTTTATCGATGAAAACTGGAGTAGTATTAAAATGAAATTCATCTCGCCACCAGGTGACGTTGTGCTATTGATATTTCTTAATTTGCAACTATTTATATGGCATATTCAATTTAACAATGAACTTGACTAGAGGCTTCATTATTTGTTAACTAGTTCACTGATTTCAATAATTCCGTACGAATGAGATACACAAACTGTAGGTACGCGTATAAAGCATACAAATTAATCATTATAAGATTATTCACTCCAAAGGTTACGCGATATTAAAATTTAAGAACACGTAAGACGTGATGTTAGTAAAGTAGACTTTGCAGTTTACCAGTGAATTTCTAAACACATATTTGACACTAACAGCTAGCTCCAAGGCTGATGTAACTTGAAAGGAAGACGTACAGAAACTATTGAAATACTATTCTCTAAGGAAATACGTCGCTGGTTCAGCAGTAAACTTATCAAAGTTTTCCTGAAAGAAAGTCAAGAGTCAGCAAAAGTCCTTGTCAGTATTCAAACAAAATCGATACAAAATGTTTCTAGTCTCAATTATCTAACCACTTGTGTTTGTTAACATACAAATCTCGTAATAAAAGGACGGCAACTTAGACCGTGAGGAAATACGAATGCAATGCGTGGTAACTTATATATAAATTGATTTAGCCGTAAACCTATATATAGATAAAATTGATAAATATAAACAAATAACAAATTCATGTTAGCTTTTATATATTTCAACTGAACGTGCAAGGGTCTGGTCCAATAAACCGACTCCGTATTGGAAAAATAATGTTGACTATAATTCCGAATTTACAGGATGTATTTTTACGAAACGTGGCAAGCTTTTAGTCAACAGTACAAGCCTATTCTTTCTACACACAGGTCAGATTCGTGATTAACGTTTTTGTACTCACGGTATGTCTGTGAAATACGGACGTCAGTCTGGCTCAGACTCTGTCTGATGAGTAGAGTGCCGCCAGGTGGTTAGGGTGCTCGACTCGCAATCTGCGGGTTCGAGTCCCCGTCCCACCAAACATGCTCGCTCCTTTCAGCCGTGGGGACGTTATAATATGACGAGCAATCCCACTATTCGTTGGTAAAAGAGTAGCCCAAGAGTTGGCGGTGGGTGGTGATGACTAGCTGCCTTCCCTCTAGTCTTACACTGCTAAATTAGGGACAGCTTGCACAGATAGCCCTCGTGTAGCTTTGCGCGAAACTCAAAAACAAACAAACAAGTAGAGTGCAAGGTGGTGTTCATATGAAGAATAAAGATACTTTTGTCCATCATACAACTTCCATAGCCTCCACAACCTCCTAAATGCATAGCTACAGTCTTTCAGTATCCCTATATATCACATCTGGTATTTTCTCTACTCTAACACAAAATCAGCAATGTAGAGTAACATGAAAAGTTGATAACTCTGACATCAAATGCATAACATCATGTTAAATGACACTTTTAGCATGCAAACTTTGACACCCAACCGTGCATCTAGCGTAAAGTGACGTGCTCAATAATTTGGTTGAATAGATAAAAAGATAGATACGGACTTGTGGTGTAGCGAGTAAACGTGTTTTTTTTTCTGATGTCATAAGACAAAAAGTTTTCTTAATGGGACGTTTCCCATATTATTTTAGTTTAAGTCAAATTTCGGAATCATTAAACTAGTTACTCACTGAATAAGTCAAAAAATTTCAACATCCTAACGGTAGTCACTTTATTGTAACATAAATTCGGTTGTCACAAGTGACAAAAATATGTGTCTAATATATAAGTATTGCCCCCCAGTGGCACAGCGGTATGTCTGTGGACTTACAACGCTAGAAACCGGGTTTCGATACCCGTGGTGGGCAGAGCACAGATAGCCCTTGTGTAGCTTTGTGCATAATTAAAAACAAAACAAACAATATAAGTATTAATGTAAAACGAGCTAGAACATTTCAGACAATAAAAACAAACAGTTTTGTTTGTTTTAAATTTCACGCAAAGCCATACTAGGGCTATATGCGCTAGCCGTCCCTAATTTAGCAGTGTAAGATTAGAGGGAAGGCAGCTAGTCATCACCACCAACCGCCAACTCTTGGGCTACTCTTTTACCAACGAATAGTGGGATTGACCGTTACATTATAACGCCCCCAGGGCTGAAAGAGCGAGCATGTTTGGTGTGACGGGGATTCGAACCCGCGACCCTCAGATTGCGAGTCGAGCGCCCTAGCCACCTGGCCAAAAACAAACAGCCAGCTTTGAAAGTTTTAAACACATTTTCATTATATTCATTTTGGATCATGTCTACTAAGTTTACGAGAAGCAGCTTCTGTCTGCAAAATACGAGGTCAGTTTAAAACACTCTTTATTTCTCTTAAAATCTTTCACTCTCTTATGAGGCCACTCATTTTCTACAGTTCGTTCAATATACAATCAAAACGATAGTTTTTGTTTTCTTAAATACTTTTTCTTTTCCATTATTTTTAAATGGGGGAAAAAATCAGCCCGGTACAACAGCAATTCCATACCTTAAAGAAATTTAAACTATACTCTCGAAAAAAAAAGAGCGTCATGAAGACATTATAGGTGCTACTATTCGTTTGTAAAAAGTAGCCCAGGAGTTGGCGGCGGAGGTGTTAACTAGATGCCTTCCCTCTTGTTTATCACTTCAAAATTAGGGACGGCTAGTGTACATGGCCCTCGATTAGCTTTGTACGAAAATTCTAAAAAGAAAATCACATATTTAAACCCTATTGTTAAGTTTCATACGTGTTATAAAATTTTAAATTCAACATGAAATATGGATCACATATCTAAGCTATCCTTTGCTATTTGCAGCTATAAAGGTATTTGCTTCAATAACAATAAATAGCTAATAACTTTAAACACGTTATTTAAAAGTAAATACTGGGGTGATAAGTAAATGACATTCCACGTCTGTAAAATGATTAAAGTTTGGTTAATACAGACTACTTAATAAAACAAACAGAAATTTGCCCATTTCCAAATCAATATCCCAGAATTATTTTATCTTGATATTCAGTATAATTTAGATAAGTAAAATCTGTTAAACATATATGTGCTTTTTAAGGTACTCGCTCCATAATAACAAACTGGTCAGTTGTTTGTAGTTAAGCACAAAGCTACATAATGGGATATCTGTGCTCTGCCCACCACGAGTATTGAAACCCGGTTTCTGGCAGTGTAAGTCTGCAAACATACCACTGCGCCACTGGGGGCGAAAATAAACAGAAAACAAATGGGTTCCTTCGGACATTAAAAAACAAAAACAACTTTTCTTGAAAAGTTTCGTCGCATCTTCAATGCATTTTAGTGAATTCAAAGGACGTCAATTGAAAACAACAACAACAAAACTTTTCTTGGGTTTCACAAGTTATTAGCTAGAGCACGTGCATTAGTCACGAAGAAATACAATAAACAAAAGTCAGATTGGTCCAGCGAACGAGAAGTAACCATAGCAACAACGCATACAACTTCAATT